TGCGGAGGCGGAGGAAGCGACTGCCACCTGGGAGTGAGGCCCCGCCGGCATAGTGAGCCCTTAGCCTGGCAGCTACCTGGTTTCAAGGGATTCTGGGCCGGGCAGGCCGCCGTACCCTGGAGGGGCCTAGAGGGACTGGTTATCTCTGAAAGCTGGTTTCCCCCACAGAGGACGGGGTCTGCTCTCTGTTGAGTATTTCTAACCTGTTCTTTCTAGTCTTAGCAATCAGAGCAGCCCTCATGGACCCCCTGGAGGTGCGAGGTAGGGTGCTGGGGGAGTCTTTTCCGTGGCGCAGGGGAATGACCAAGATGGAAAATTGTAACAAAACACAATCCGAGATCACTCAGGGTACGGAGAAGAACTTGAACAAACTGCGCCTAATCGGTACCATCAGAAAATAATGAAAGAAGAGAGCACACCTACGAAACAAGAGTAGGACGGGGGCGGGGTCCAAACAGAGAAAAGGAAAGATTGCTGGGAAGGTTTTTAACTATCCAGGTGGTGTCGTGGTGAAGGCACTGGACTCCCATGGGGCTGGCCATGGTTTGAGTCCCGAACCCAGAGGCTTGAAACTGATGCTGCGTGCGCATGCGTGCCCAAGATCCCAAGAGAAGAACAGAGGAGAGGGGACTGCGGTCATTCCCCCAAGGGGTGATTTGCTTTCTGTCTCTCTGTCTCTCTCGGTCTTGCCGGTGGACACACGCACCCTATAGCAAAAATCTTTCAAAACAAAATTTAAAAATGAAATTACCCAAGTCTGTACTCAATAGAAGGCTGGGGTGATAGGGTCAAAGGCTGTAATACGAAGAGTCTTGGGAGATGTGAGGGATCCGATCCAGGCTGAGTCCATAGCTGAGTGGTTAGGGAGCAGGATCCCAGATGGCTGACTGCAGTCCGGATCCCAGACCCACGGCTTGAAAAGCACATCAGGCTCGTGTGTGTGTGCCCCAAATCCTGACAGGATGGGGAAGTGGAGACGGACCGTGGTGTGACCACACCCATTGGGGGGTGCTCTCTCCCTCTCTCTGGCGCTCTGGTGAGCACACATGCCCTCTGGCAATTAACAACAAAGACACAATCCAGCCAGTAAGGGTAATCAAGGGCACTATGAAGTATTTAACAGTCTGCCTGGCATGTGCGCGACCTTTCAGAATGTGCCTCCGGGTCCTGAGCAGCTGAGCCGGGCACCCTGGTCCTCAGTGCCTGGGCCTGAGCCAGGCCGTGATGACGTCAATGCCTGTGACGTTCCGCCTTCACAGCCGGCCTGGGGACAGAGCACAGAGGTCTCATTGTAGCTTGTGACTAAACGTTCTCAGCTTTGACAATGTAAAAATAAAAGTACAGCAGGGAGGAGGTGAGAGAAAGATCAGGCCATAAATGAAATGAGGTTTTAATTGAAATTTTTCCGTATTTATGATAGAGCCCGTGTGTGTGAGCGTGAGCGACAGAGAGAGATGAGCACCCTCTCCAGGGTCCGATTACGCGCGATCCCCTTCCTCCGGCCCTCCGGCCCGTGGGACCCTGAGCTCTGGCCTGCGGGCCTAGCATTTCAGGCTGACTGGGTCAAGGATTCAAACCGTGGTCACCGTGTGTGATCCAGCTTCTGTGGGACAGCGCATTACCACTGCACCACTGAGCTGGCCCCAAGATGAGATTTTTTTTTTTTTTGGTAGAGGTTTTTGCTATAGGGCGCGTGCGCTCGCCAGACAGACAGAGATAGAGAGACAGAAAGGGAGAAATCACCCCCCAGGGGGGATGGCCACACCACAATCCCTTCTCCTCCATTCTCCTCTCAGGATCTTGGGCACGCATGCACATGCGCCCGGGTCTGGGACTCAAACCGCGATTGACTACGTGGGAGTCCAGCGACATAGCCATTACGCTAACTGCTGGTCCCAAGATGAGATTTTAACATGTTATTTAAAGAAATAACTTCCCAGTAGAAGGGCTGAAACTGCTAGTCCAGAGAAAGGAGTGTGGCGTGGAAGTACACGGGAGCTTAATTCTCACCTGTGATAGCATGGAGTCGACAGAAGTAGCCTAAAATCGCCACACCGGAAACAGCAGTGTTCTGTACACCTGCTCACGTGGAGGAAATACAAGCCACAGTAGCCCTGGCTATGTCTAGAGAAGGGGACAGGTGGTGGGGAACAGGACCAGAGGGAGACTTTTCATGCCCTATAGCCCTCGTGCCTTTGGAATTTCTTTTAAATTAAAAAAAAAAAAGTATATTTATTTCCTGCATGAATGAGAGAGAGAGAAAGACAGAGAGACAGACGGACAGACAAGGAGGCTTTCCAATGGAGTGTCAATGCCACAATCCACACCCAACCTCATCCAGCCCTGGAACCCAGAACCTTTCCATGTGGGTCAGTCTCGCATCTTACTGCTGTGCCGCTATTCACCCCCTGCCTTTTGAACGTGAAGTTAACTACTCACAGCACAGCCAAAATTCAAAGAAAACAGAGGAAAAGATGGCGGGATTGTGGTATGACGACGGCCCGTGGGAGACACTTCGTCCTCTCCTGTCTCTCTGGTGAGCACACATGCCCATTAGCCAAAAAAAAAAAGATATATGTAGTAAAAGTTATTTTGGGGACCAGCAGGTGGCACAGTGATTAAGGCACTGAACTCCCACATGGCTGGACTGATGTTCAAGTCCCAGATCTGGCAGCTTGCTTTCTCACTTTTTATCTCTTCATCTCTCTCTCTGGTGGGTGCATGTGCCCTATAGCAAGTAAAATAAAAATAATAATAACAAATAGTTAAATTTTCTTTCTAAAATATGAAAAAGATTTGTATTAAGCTTAATAATGGTGTTGTGGTTATGTAGAAACATCATTATTTTTAGAGATGCATTATGAAGTCATCTCAAGCATCTCTAGGCTTGAGATTTCATGAGTTTGTAATTTAAGATACCGGCAAAAAACAAATAGAGGAAATAAATATAGCAAAATGTTAACAACTGTTCACTCTAGCTGGGAGGTATTTCCAGGTTTGAAATTTTTTGTAATTTTTTTTTTAATTAGAAAGATTATAACTCCCAAACAGTTAAATTACAAAGAGATTTATATAGTTTAGGTAGAGGTTAACCAGGTGGCATGGTAGTTAAGGTGGCTGGATCCACTGACTTGCAGGTTCAAGTCCCGGTGGCTTGAAAATCACACTGGACATGTGTGCATGCATGCCCCAGTCCCAGGAGAATGGAAGAGAAAGGGTTGCAGCATGGCCGCCCCCTTTTGGGGTGATTTCTCACTCTCTCATGCATCTCTCTCTCTGGTGAGTACACATGCCCGAGAGCAAATTTTTTAAAAAAGAGAGTGAAGGGACTGACAGATGGCGTGGTGGTTGGGGTGCTGGATTCCCACATGGCTGGCCGCAGCTCAAGTACTGGACCTGGTGACTTATTTTCTCTCTCTCTCGCTCCGTCTCTCTCTGGTCAGATTGAAGAATGATAATAAATAAAATTATATAAATAATTACAAAATAAAAGAGATGGGACCAACAGATGGTGTAAAGGTTACGTTGTTGCCGGACTCCCACGTAGTCGACCACGGTTCCAGTCTCGGAGCCGGCAGTTTAAAACTCATTCTAGGAGCATGTGTATGGGTGCCCAAAATCCTGAGAGGAGAATGGAGGCGAAGGGATTACGGTATGGCCATCCCCTTGGGTGTGTGTGTGTGTGTGTGTGTGTATGCGTGTGTGTTTTCTTGCTTTCTGTCTCTCTGTCTTTCTCTCTCTCTCCCAGTGAGCACACGTGCCCTATAGCAAAAATATTTCTTTAAAAAAAAAAGTGAGACGGAGACAGAGAGAGAAAGCACCCCCAGTGTGGTGTGGCCATGCTGCAATCCTTTCTCCCACATTTCTCCATCCTGTTGGGATTTGGGCGCCAGGAGTGTTTTTTAACTGCCGGGACCAGGATTAGAACCACACGGTTGGCCGTGTGGAATGCTGCTCCCTTAACCACTAGGCTGTGGTTGAAGGACCATAGCCTTAACCTCTTTATACATTAACATATAAAGAGGCCGAGTCTGTTTATACATTAATGCCTCCTGAATTGCTACCAAAGCTGGACCGATAAGCCATCCTTATAGGTCATTTGAAGGTGATATTTTGAATTTGCACTTTGTTTTCTGGTTTTGCTTTTAAAGAATCCTTTGTTTTATTTTATTAATTATTATTATTACTATTCTTTTAATTTACTATACAGCACGTGTGCTCACCAGAGAAAGACAGAGTGTGAGAGAGAGAGGGAAGGTGAGAAAGCAAGCCGCCAGGTCTGGAACTCAGTGGTCAGCCATGTGGGATCCAGCGCCTTAGCCCCCACGGCCCCTGCTGCCCTCTCCATTTTGCTTTAAATAATTCTCCCCCCATTTCCAGGTTCTTGGGCCCGACTGCTTATTCCGTGCTAGGCCTTGTGCTACCACCCACATTCACCTGTACCGTGACAACCCAGATGGGGCTCTGGGAAATGCTTTATAGCAGTGGGACTATTCCCATCATTGCAGGCTGCCTCTCCCGGTGAAAGTGACTCCCTTCAGGATGTGGGGCACACATGCACGTGTACCTGCCATATTTTCCAAGCTGCTGGGGTTAGGACTGAAATATACGGTCAGCCATGCGGGATCCAGCTGCCTTAACCACTAGGCTCTGGGCCAGCTCCCCTGCCAACATGTCTTGTGTGGTTTATTATGTTGCACGAGGGCTCTGTCTCCTACTCAGTCTTGAGTTTCATTGCCCAGTGGTTTTTGGTCTCCGAGAAAGGGCGGTGGAAGGAAGGGAAGGAAAAATCATCTCATCACACCTATTTTATCTCACGAACTCCTCACAGTCACCCTGGAGAGATGTTATTCTTATTTTACGTAAGGAAACTGAGGCCCAACGAGGTGAATTTTCTCAAGGTCATACAGTTACAAAGTGACCGAGCTGTGATTTGATCCAGAATGATCTGGCCTCAAGCCCTGTGTTGGACGCTGACGCTCCTACACCCCCCACCCCAGGTGGCCGAGAAACTGGAAATGCTGAAGAAGCAGTACGATGAGAAGCTGGCCCAGAAGGAGGAGCTTCGCAAGAAGTCGGAAGAGATGGAGCTGAAGCTGGAGCGGGCGGGGATGCTGGTGTCTGGGCTGGCTGGCGAGAAGGCCCGGTGGGAGGAGACGGTGCAGGTGAGCTGGGCTGGGCCACTGGCTGCCAGTTCCTAGGGATCCATCCTGTTTGTGTCGAGGGACAGTCAGGGAAGACAGGGACACCAGGGCGCAGGGAAACCTTTTTTCAGTGGGGCCTGGCCAGGAGTTCTTCCCCTCTCCCTCCTCCCATTCGGTGAGGAAGTGGAAGAAACGGCTCTTGTGCTGTCGGGGCTCTGCTCCAGCGTTCCGGTGGGGCTGGACGGCACGCGGGACTCGCGACACAGGCCGCCAGCCTGACAGGAACCAGATACGGGACATCTTGTCTCCACCCTCAGCCAGCACCGGGCTTCGCACAGGGCTGGCCTTATCACCAGGACGTCACCGTCTAAACATGGCAGTTAGAGACGGGACTGCAGAGTAATTGGAACCAGGTTAGAGTGTTCTGGGCCCACGTTTAGGAGAGGCAAAGAATCTCTTTGATCTAGATAGACCGCCTTCAAAAGCATTCCAAGTGTCTCCCAGAGTGCTGGGGGCCCAGCCGGGCTCACACCTCCCTGCCACCCCCAGGGCCTGGAGGAGGACCTGGGCTACCTTGTGGGTGACTGTCTCCTGGCAGCGGCCTTCCTGTCCTACATGGGGCCTTTCCTGACCAACTACCGGGATGAGATTGTCAACCAGATCTGGATCCGCAAGGTGAGGCGGGGCCCGGAGCCCAGGGCCGGGGAAGGGGTAAGGGGAGCCGGACTCGGACCTGCGATTGAAGTTGGGGTTTTCTCTCTCCAGATCTGGGAGCTTCAGGTTCCCTGCTCGCCTCGCTTCGCCATCGATAACTTCCTGGCCAATCCTACCAAAGTTCGGGACTGGAACATCCAAGGGTTGCCCTCAGATGCCTTCTCCACCGAGAACGGCATCATCGTCACCCGTGGCAACAGGTATGGCTGCTCCTGGGAGTGAGAGGGCAGCAGGGCGGAGCCTGTCTTCTGACCGGGCGTCCTCCTTCAGGTGGGCCCTGATGATTGATCCTCAGGCCCAGGCCCTGAAGTGGATTAAGAACATGGAAGGGAACCAGGTATAAGGCTTGGGCAGGGATGAGGGGAGAGGGCGAGGGGCTGGTTTTGTCCCCTGCAGAATCTCTTCCCAAGCCTGGTCTCTTCCTGACTCCTGCCCTTGGGCCGCTGTCCCCTCGTATCCCCAGCATCTCTTCCGTCTTTCCCCCTCGCTCTCCAGGGCCTGAAGATCATCGACCTGCAGATGAGCGATTACCTTCGGATCCTAGAAAACGCCATCCAGTTTGGGTACCCAGTGCTGCTCCAGAACGTGCAGGAGTACCTGGACCCCTCGCTCAACCCCGTGCTCAACAAATCCGTAACTCGAATTGGTCAGTGCCCGGCTCATGGTGGGGTGGGATTGTGGGACAAGACCAGCCAAGGGGGCCCTCGGGGGGAAGGGGCTGACTCCTTGGCTCTGTCCTCCACCAACCCATCCCTCCATTCAGACAGCCCTGGGTAAGGGCCTTGAGGACAGGCTGAGTCGCTGCGACCGACCGGGTGCCAGATGGGGATTGGGTCGGCCCGTGCCAGTCACACGGGATCCTTGCCCTGGCCCTTGTGGATGCAGGTGGTCGGCTGCTGATGCGCATTGGCGATAAGGAGGTGGAATACAATACCAACTTCCGTTTCTATATCACCACCAAGCTCTCCAACCCCCACTATAGCCCGGAGACCTCAGCCAAGACCACTATTGTCAACTTTGCTGTTAAAGAACAGGTGGGTCGGGACCAGCAGTTAGTGTAATGGCTATGTCTCTGGACTCTCACGTAGTCGACCGCAGTTTGAGTCTCGGACCCGGTGGCTTAAACTCACACCGGGCGCATGTGCGTGCATGCCCAAGATCCCGAGAGGAGAATGGAGGAGAAGGGATTGTGGCGTGGCCATCCACCCTGGGGGGTGATTTCTCGCTTTCTGACTATCTGTCTCTCTGTGTTACTGGTGAGCGCACGCGCCCTATAGCAAAAACCTCTCCAAAAAAAGAAAAGAAAGAAAAAAAAAAGAACAGGGAGGTGGACTGGCCCGGCTGCGCTGGCGCCAACGGGAGGGTGCCGCTGCATAATGGCTGGGGCCCCAGGGGAGGCCCGGGCTTGGTTCCTAGACCAGCCTAAACAGACCTGGCATGGAGCACGCGGCTGTGGTCCTGGCGTAATGGTCGGCTGGGGCAGAAAGATTGCTACGAGTAAGATTCTGCTGGGGAAAAGTCTCTCTCTCTCTCCCTCCTGTTCATGCATGCACTCTCTTGTTAAAAGAAAAAAATATAGGGCCAGCGGTCAGCGTGGAGGTTAAGGCACTAGACCCTGTATCAGTCACTGTGTGGTTCAAATCCCGGACCCAGCAATTTGAAGATCATACAGGGCGCTTGTGTGTGTGTGCCCACAACTCAGGCAGAATGGAGAAGGGATTTGAGCATGTCCATCCCCCCTGGGGGGTGCTTTCTCACTTTCCCTCTCTGCGTGAGTGCAGGCACCCCATAGCAAAAACTAAAAATGATCATAAATAAATGGTGGGCATGGCTGATGCCCAGACTGAACCAGGGTGAAGCAGGAAGTTGCCTTAGAGTTTGGGAGGATCGAGAATAAACTAAGCTTGAGTGGCAGTGGGGCTGAGGGCTTTGGGAAGTGTAAAGGGGAGGGAAGAGTTGCCAGTCTGTGGCCTGAGACCCTCAACCTGGGCCCCGGCACTCCCAGGGCCTGGAGGCCCAGCTGCTGGGCATCGTGGTCCGGAAGGAGCGGCCGGAGCTGGAGGAGCAGAAGGATTCGCTGGTCATCAACATCGCCGCTGGCAAGAGGAAGCTCAAGGAGCTAGAGGACGAGATCCTTCGGTGAGACCTTGTCCACACACCCGCCCTGAGGTCTGCTCCCAGCTAGTGCCCAGCCCGTCCCCTCCTGGGCCCTGCGTGCATCCCAGGGGCCTGACAGGAGTCCCTTCCCTCCAGCCCAGCACCCCTAACCCCCACATCTACCTCATCTGCCGCCCTTAGGCTGCTGAATGAGGCCACGGGCTCCCTGCTAGACGACGTGCAGCTGGTGAACACCCTGCGCACCTCCAAGGTGACGGCCGCCGAGGTGACGGAGCAGCTGGAGACCAGTGAGACCACGGAGATCAACATCGACATGGCGCGCGAGGTGAGCGCCACCCCACCGGCCTGCCCGAGCCCGGCTGGGTGCCTGCCCTTCCCGGCCTGACTCCCCCTAACCCACAGGCTTACCGGCCCTGCGCCCAGCGGGCGTCTGTGCTGTTCTTCGTGCTCAATGACATGGGCCGCATCGACCCCATGTACCAGTTCTCGCTGGATGCCTACATCACCCTCTTCATCCTCAGCATTGACAAGAGCCACCGCAGCAATAAGCTGGAGGACCGCATTGACTACCTGAACGAGTACCACACCTACGCCGTCTACAGGTTGGCGCCGCGCTCCTCGCTCCAGGGGGCGGGAGGCCAAGTGGCTGGTTCTAGGTGCACGCCACTTCCAGCCGCTTCCACCTTAGCGCGTCAACAAGACATTCTCCGTCCCTGCTCTCCTTCCATACCTGGTCAGCAACGAGTTCGTGGAAAATGAGTATTAAGAAAAACGATGTATTGATTTCAAAAAATTTTAGCACCAAAGTAAACTCCTACCTTGGGCAGCCCAGTAGCGAAAAATATGCCAGGGGTGTGTGTGTGTGTGTGTGTGTGTGCACATGTGCCTAAAAATCTTGATGAGAAGGAGAAACGGAAGAAAAAGTGACCACACTTCACCGAGGAGGAAGGGTGCTTTCTCTCTCCCTCTCTGGTAAGTGCATGAGCTCTCTGATTAAAAAATATATACATACATACATATATATATATATTTAAAAATTGAATAATAAACATTTTTTAAAACTTTAATTTCATTTTCCCATGAATTTTAATTTTTCCAAAAACAACCATTCAGTGATTCTTTTTTTTCAAATTTATCGTAGAGTGTATGTGTAGGCATGAGAGCAAGAGAAGCACCCTCTGTGGGGTTTGTTTACCCGAAATCCACCTCCGCTACTCCTTCGGCTCCTCAGGATCCTGGCCATGTGCGCATACCTGCTGTCGTCAGGTCCACCCGCCCACGATGACCGTGGTGGGCACACGGCTTCCAGCTGCACCACGGAGGCGTGGTCCCGTGACCTTCTGAAGTCCCCTTGTACATGGTCCTGGGAGGCTTATCCACTTTTATGTTTGATCTGATTATTCCCAGTTTCCTATCTTCAGGTGTCAACTGTCTGCTCTGCCACCACCTCTCAAATGCTCGTGTGCATATAAAGCCCTGGGCCCGGTTAAAATGAGGACGGGGGTCAGCCGGGGTGGTGATGAAGGCAGCCAATCCCCCAGGACTGGCTGAGAGGTTCCAGCAGGCCCAGTGGTGTAAGCCGCTCCTCCAGGGGATGCTTTCTCACTTTTCTTCTCTTTCTAACAAGCGCACGTGCCCTATACCTAAACCTACCAAAAAGGTGGGAAGGAGAGGGAGCAGCAGGTAGCATGGTGGTTAAGGCACTCGACTCTCACATTGCCTAGCACGGTTCAAGCCCCAGACTTGGCGACTTGAAAATCACACTGGGTGCGTACGCACATGCCCCAAATCCTGAGAGAATGGAAAAGGGATTGCTGCATGGCCATCCCTCTGAGGGGGGTGATTTCTCATTCTGTCTTTCCCCAGCAAGCCCTTGCATCCTATGGCAAAAATCTAAAAAAAAAAAAAAAAAGCAGACTTGTCTTCAGGGGGTCTGCATCTCTAGCAAGCTTCCAGGGCTGCTGCCGCTCCCAGCCTGTGGATGGCATCTGAGCAGCAGGGCACCTGACTTCTCTACTGGACATCCCACAGACCCCTCCAGTTCAGCCTGTTTCAGGTCAGGCTCATCTTCCCTCTTCCTTCAGGGTCCTCATCCCTGAACGACACCAACGCCCACCAGTCTGTCACTCACGCCAGAAGCTGGGAGCTATGGGAGCTATGCTTGACCCTTCCCTCGCAAATCAGCCACGGGCTCCACTGATGACTTTCTACAGACCTCCCCTCCTCGTGCTCCCGGCTGCTATGACTACTTCAGCTCGGTCTTTGTGACCTTTTCTTCTGAATTGCACAACGGTTTCATAACAGGTTGTCCTGTTTTCGTCCCTCTGGTCTGTCCTCCTACACATGGAGCTGAGCAGATCACTCCCAGCTTAATTCCTCAGTGGCTGTCTCCTGTCCAGTGGTCTGCAAAACCCTCTGACCTGGCCTCCACCTGCCTCTGCCTCACCTTTCCCGTCGAGTGCCTGAGCAGCACTGGTGGCCCCGCCCCGGCTCTGCCTCCGCTGTGAGCTCTCCCCGCTGTGCTCGCCCCTCGGCCGCTGCCACTGCCACTCGATGGCTCCTCTGCACCTCGCGGCAGCTCCTCTCAGAAGCCCTCCTTGATTGAGCCCACCAGGCAGAGCCGGGTGCCCTCGACACCTCTGCCACCCCTGTGGGACTCGTCACATCCTGTTGTAACGGACGGCCCGTGCCTGTCCTCCCTGCTCTCGAGGACAGACTGTGCCTGATTCAACTTTGTGTCCTTAGAACCTAGCAGAGGGCCTGACAGCTGACGAATGTTTTCGTCCATGACGGAGAACACGTGTGTATGTGTGAGAGCGAGAGAAGCATCCTCGGCAGGGGCTCGTCATGCCGTCAGCCCCTTTCCCCAGCCTCTCACGACCCTGGGGCCTGTGCACACCAGACATGTTTCCAGCCCAGCCCGAGGGTCTGAACCTGCAGTGGGTCATGTGGCCTCCAGCACCTCAGTCCAGTGTGCTGTTGACTATGCCACCATGGCCAGGCCTGTGTGTGTGTGTGTGTGTGTGTGTGTGTGTGTGTGCGTGTGTGTGTGTTGCCATGGGGTGCTTGTGCTCACTGGAGAGAGACAAGGGAGAGAGAGGAAGAGAGAGAGACAGAGAGAGGAGAGTGAGGAAGCACCCCCATGGGGGATGGCCACGACACCGTCTCCTTTCCTCCAGCCTCCTCTTGGGACTCTGGGCACGCACGCACATGTACCGACGTGTTTCTTTTCTTTTTTTTTTTTTGAGAGTTTTTTTTTTTTTCGCTATAGGGCATGTGCACACGCCAGACAGAGAGACATAGAGACAGAAAGCAAGAAATCCCCCCCCAGGGGGGATGGCCACGCCCCAATCCCTTCTCCTCCCTTCTCCTCTCGGGATCTTGGGCACACATGCACACGCACCTGGCGTGAGTTTTAAGCCACCGGATCCGGGACGAGAACCGCGGTCGACTACGTGGGAGTCCAGCGACATAGCCATTACGCTAACTACTGGTTCCCCCGGCGTGTTTCTCAGGCCGTTAGTCCAGGAGTTGAACTGTGCAGTCAGCCACGCTTACGTGGCTCAGCTGCCTGAACTGCCATGCCACGGGCTGAGTCTTATGTTTTATAAATGGATGAAATGACTCTGGGAAAACCATGTCATCCCTCCAAGCCCGAGTCCTCAGAGCTCACAGGTGTGGACTAGATGCCACTGCGGTGCTGAGCGTCCCACTCACGCTGCCTCCTTCACCCTCCCTGAGCTGTCCTGCCCTTTCCTCCCAGGTACACCTGCCGCACCCTTTTCGAGCGCCACAAGTTACTGTTCAGCTTTCAGATGTGCGCCAAGATCCTGGAGACTTCCGGCAAACTCAACATGGATGAGTACAACTTCTTCCTCCGCGGGGGTGTGGTGAGTGGGGAGGGGGCACGTCCCAGGACGGGGCGGTCGCATGGTCGCACGGGAACAAGGGCGTGCGTGATGCGGTCTCCAGAACCAGGGGGTCTGGCCCAAGGTTCCCACAAGTAAGCCGAGCAAAACTGCCAGGAACAAGTGCACCATGTGCTTCCTGGGCTGTGGGGGTGACCTGCCACGCACCCCCTCGAGCACCGTACAGGCCGGGGCACCTCTCAGGCACCTCTCACCTGTGACCCACTGACTGGTGTGCTCTTGTCACTTTCCCCCTGCCTCTCAGGCCACTCCTTCCCCACCCTGAATCCCACAGCCCCCGGCAGTCTCTCGTGCAGGCCTCTGAACGCTTTGTGCGAAGCTTCCTCTCCGGTGGCACTTGCTTGGCCACACTACGCTCTGGCTAGATGGAGCTCTCCTCCCTCTCTGTCCCTGTGTGGCCCTGCAGCTGAAATCGGCTGGAGAAAGACACTCCCACGCTGGCTGGTCTCGCTGTAAAGCCGTGATCGCGAAGCTTAAGTAGGCCCTTAAAGCTGCTGGACAACCACAGTGTATTCTTCTGGGCCTGCTAATCTCCCTGTATCCTGGACAACAGTTTCTTGTTTTAAAATTTTTGCCGGAGGATGCATGTGCTTATTGGAGAGAACCAAAGAGGGAAAGGGAGAAAGCAGCCCCACGGGGAAGGGCGTGCTGTAGTCCCTTCTCTTCTGTTTGTCTCCGTTTGGAGCTCTGGGCACATCCTCGCACCTGACATGCTCCTCACAGCTGTGGAGGTGTTTGGACCACGTGGTCAGCCACATGGGATCCAGCCACTGGCTGGGCCTGTGGGCAGCTTTTTCCCCACCTCCCGTGTGTCCACCCACAGGGTACCCAGCCACTGGCTGGTCCTGTGGACAGCTTCTGCCACCCTCCCGTCACTTCTCATCTGGATTTTGCAATAGTCTCTCAATGCCCCCGCGCCCCACCCAAATGAACATGGCGACCAGAGGGATCCTTTCTGAGTGGACGATGTCGTCTCCCGCTGCCAGCCCCTCACGCATTCCAGCAGCCAGCCCTCATCACCCTCCTCAAACATGCTGGCATGCGTCGCCTTGGGGCCTTTGCCCTGGTGGTGCCTTCTGCCAGAGAGCTGCCCCTCGCCCCCGCAGGTGTGCACTCGGCTCTCTCTCACCTCATGAGGCCTCCGGGATCTTCCTGTGTAACACGTCGGCCTGTCCGCTGCTCTCCCAACCCCCTTTGTCCTCCTCAGCTCATTCTGCTTCTCCACGGCACTCCCAGCGTCAGCATGCTAGGTCATTATTGTTCGTTATAGCGGTAGTTCATCATCCACACGCGGGTTCATAATCCCATGTTAGAAGATAGACTCCTCGAGGGACCAGCAGGTGGCGTGGCAGTTAAGGCGCTGGACACTCCCACATGACCAGCTGTGGCTGGAGTCCTGGATCTGGTGGCTTGCTTACCCACTTTCCCTCTTCTCTCTCTCTCGTCAAATTAAAACGAATGAATAAGTAAATAAAATTAATAAATAATTATTTTAAAAAAAAACGGAAGAATACAGACTTCTTGGGATCACCAGATGGTGTAATGGTTACGTCACTGGGCTCCCATGTAGTCAACTACAGTTCAAGTCCCAGACCAGGCAGCTTAAAACTCATATCGGGCTTGTGTATGTGCATGCCCAAAATCTCAAGAGGAGAATGGAAGAGAAGGGATTGCTGCATAGCCATTCTCCCTGTGGGTTGATTTCTTGCTTTCTGTCTTTCTGTGTTTCTCCAGAGAGCACATGCACCCTATAGCAAAAATCTCTCTTTTAAAAAAAAGAAGAGGAAAAAAAACCCAAAAAACTAGACTCCTCAGGGACTGAGGTATTTGCCTGTTTTTCTCAGTGATGTGTCTTAGATGCTTAAAACACATAGTTGGTTGGGACCGGCAGTTGTTGTAATGGCTATGTCACTGGACTCCCATATAGTCGACCGTGGTCTGAGTCCTGGACCTGGTGGCTTAAACTCATGCCGGGCATGTGCATGTGTGCCCAAGCTACCCAGAGGCAAATAGAGGAGAAGGGATTGTGGCGTGGCCTTTGCCCCTGAGGGCTGATTTCTCTCTTTCTGTCTCTCTGTCTCTTTCTGTCTTTCTGGCGAGCGCACGCACCCTATAGCAAAAACCTCTCCAAATAAATAAATAAATAAAACAAAACAAAACACATAGTTGGTGAACAATAAATATTTGTTAAAAAGAATGAGTAAATGAATGAGGCCAGCAGGTGGTGTGGTGGCTAACATGCTAAATTCCCACGTGACTGACAGTGGTTTGAGTCCTGGACCCGGTGGCTTAAAACACACCAGGCATGTGTGTGCATGCCCCAAATCCCAAGAGAATGGAGAAGGGATTGCAGTATGGCCACCCCGTCTTGGAGGATGATTTCTCACTTTCCCTCTCATCATCTTTCTCTGTCTCTTCAGTGAGTACATCCACACTGTGGGAAAAATAAAAAGAACGGTAAGTGAATGAATGAATCCACAGCCGGCTTCTGAATGGTGAGACTGCTAATTGAATCATTAGAATTGGAGACATTGTTACAAGGAAACCACCAGAGGGCGCCAGCTTCCTAAATTTGAACTGTGATCCCTCACCGTTAGGTCTGAGTCCGGGACTGGCACGTTTACTCCCTAACAGGATTCCCACTCAGTCAGATTCCCTGCATTCATTTCTTCTTTCTGTTTCATACAAGATCCATCTTAGCTTTCCCATTCTAAATAATAATAATAAATAGAAAGAAAGAGTGAGAAAAGGAAGGAAGAGAGAAAGGAGAGAAAGAAAAACAGAGAAAAAGCTGACTCCCCTGAGGTGTTTCCCCGCTGACCCTCTTCGCTCTCCTTCCCCTGAAAGGTCCTGGACAGGGAGGGCCAAATGGATAACCCGTGTACCAGCTGGCTTGCAGACGCTTACTGGGACAACGTCACAGAGCTGGACAAACTCACCAACTTCCACGGCCTCATGAACTCCTTCGAGCAGTACCCTCGAGACTGGCACCTGTGGTACACCAATGCCACCCCGGAGAAGGCCATGCTGCCGGGTAGGCCCCAGCTCCCTGCCTCCCCTGGGCCAGGCTGCAAGCCTGCCCTCCCCTCGGTCTTCACATCCTGGCCAAGCTCCCCGGGCTGGCGCCTGCCTCCGGCCCAGTGTTCCCTGCAGATGCCCCTCCGCTCAGAGGCCCAGCTCTGCAGGCTCACCTCCCCGCGCTGACCCCACTTCCCCAGGTGAGTGGGAAAATGCCTGCAACGAGATGCAGCGGATGCTGATCGTGCGCTCGCTGCGCCAGGACCGCGTGGCCTTCTGCGTTACCTCTTTCATCGTCTCCAACCTCGGCTCCCGCTTCATCGAGCCGCCGGTGCTGAACATGAAGTTGGTCAGTGGCTCGACTTCTGTGCCCACGCCAACCCCGGAAGCGGCCCTCCCTCTCGCTCTCCTCCTTGGGTTGTGTGGCCTTCCGCCTGAGGCCCTCCCTGTGCTCCGGCAGGTGATGGAGGATTCAAACCCGCGATCCCCACTTGTATTCATCCTGTCCCCGGGCGTGGACCCCACTGGCGCGCTGCTCCAGCTGGCAGAGAACACGGGCATGGCCCAGCGCTTCCACGCCCTGTCCCTGGGCCAGGGCCAGGCCCCCATCGCTGCTCGGCTGCTCCGGGATGGTGTGGTTCAGGGTCTGTGTCCTCCGTCCTCCACCTGGTCCTCCTCCCCTGAGCCTCCAACCTCAATCTCACTGTTCTAACTGCACCTCCTGCTCCTCCAGAAGCCTCAGGAGAGCAGACCTGAGCTCTGGACACCCCTCCTGCCGCCACCGGTGCAAAGTGTGGGGACAGGTGGCCGTGGGAACAATCCCACTGACTCGCATCTCCTTGCAGGACACTGGGTGTTCCTGGCCAACTGCCACCTGTCCCTGTCCTGGATGCCCAATCTGGACAAGCTGGTGGAGCAGCTGCAGGTGGAAGACCCTCACCCTTCTTTCCGCCTCTGGCTCAGCTCCAGCCCCCACCCAGACTTCCCCATCTCCATCCTGCAGGCCAGCATCAAGATGACCACGGAGCCACCGAAGGTGCGGGTGGTCGTAAGCCGGGGGCGGCTGTGCCGTCTGGCTTCCCTCCTCCTGGGCGTGGAGAGGCTTCGGCCCCTCCAGCAACAAGACTGATTTTATTGTCCACCGAGAAATTCCACCTCATTCCTTTCCTCTCCGTGTCTAAGTCCTGGAACAGAATACTAACTTTTAACACTTCTGGAATGATTATTAGGTGCCAGGCATTATTATTCTGTTTTTAAATATTTATTAATTCATTTAGTACACACACAAGTATGCGTGTGCTATCATGCAAGAATTATTACCCCCATTTTACAGATAGGGAAATGAGGCACAGAAAGAATCTGTAAGTATCCCAGAGGCAGAATGTGGGCAGTTGGACTCCCAAATTCATTCTTTTACATTGTGGGAATTCCCTGTCTCTCAATGTTTCCATGCAGTCTCTTCTTCCCGCTCCTCCTCCTCCTCTTCTTCCCTCCTCCTCCTCCTCTTCTTCCCTCTTCCTCCTCCTTTTCTCCTCCTCCTCTTCCCTCTTCCTCCTCCTTTTCCCTCCTCCTCCTCCTTTTCCCTCCTCCTCCTCCTTTTCTCCTCCTCCTCTTCTTCCCTCTTCCTCCTCCTTTTCTCCTCCTCCTCTTCCCTCTTCCTCCTCCTTTTCTCCTCCTCCTTTTCTCCTCCTCTTCCTCTTCCCTCTTCCTCCTCCTTTTCTCCTCCTCCTCTTCCTTCTCCTCGTTCCTCCTCTTTTGCCGTAGGACACATGTATTCACCAGAAAGAGACATAGAGCGGAAAAGTGAGAAATCGCCTCCCCAGGGGAGAGGTGGATGGCCACCCTGCAACCCCTTCTTCTTCAGTCTCCTCTCGGGATTTTGGGCACGCATACAAACATGCTTAATGTGACCGTGAAGGCGCCAAGTCGGAGGCTTAAACTATGGTTAGCCAAGTGGGAGTCCAGCACCTTAACCACTACAGTACCTCCTGCCTCCCCCCTTTTTAAAAAATTAATTATAGGGAACCAGCAGTTAGCGTAATGGCTATGTCGCTGGACTCCCACGTAGTCGACCACGGTTCATGTCCCGGACCCGGTGGCTTAAAACTCACGCCGGGCGCGTGTGCGTGCGTGCCCAAGATCCCGAGAGGAGAATGGAGGAGAAGGGATTGCGGCGTGACCATCCCCCCTGGGGGGTGATTTCTCGCTTTCTGTCTCTTTGTCTCTCTCTGTCTGTCTGGCGAGTGCACGCGCCCTACAGTGAAAATCTCTCCAAAAAAAAAAAAATTAATTATAGAGGCCAGCAGGTGGCGCAGTGGCTAAGGTGCTGTACTCCCACGTGCCACTCAGTTTGAGTCCTGGACTGGCCACTTGCTTTCTCACTTTTTCTTTCTCTCTCTGTTTCTCTCTGGTCAAATGAAATAATAATAATAATAATAACAAATAAAATAATTATTTAAAAAATCCTTTAAAAAATAATTATAGAACACAGGACCAGCAGTTGGCTTAATGACTATGTCGCTGGACTCCCATGTAGCCAACCGTGGTTCGAGTCCTGGACCCAGTGGCTTAAATTCATGCTGGGCACGTGTGCATGCGTGCCCTAGATCCTGAGAGGAGAAGGGATTACGGAGTGGCCATCCCCCTGAAGGGTGATTTCTCACTTTCTGTCTCTCTGTCTCTGTCGTTCTGGCGAGCGCACATGCCCTATAGCAAAAGCCTCTCCAAAAAAACCCCCCAAAAATTATAGAACGCATGCACTTGCCAGAAAGAGAGAAAAAATGAAAAAGCATCCCCCGATGGGTATGATCACACCGCAATCCCTTCTCCTCCATACTCTCCTTGGGATTTGGGGTACACATGCACATGTACCTGGCGTGCTTTTCAAACTGCTGGGTCTGGGACTTGAATCATGCGCTTGGCCACATGGGAACCAGCCACCTTAACCTCCATGCCAGGAGCTGGCCCCCACATTCTCTTCTTAACATCACGGTTCCTTGACCCCCCCCAGTGTCCTTCCCAGTGTCATTGACCTTTTCATTTCCAGTGTTACAAGGCCACTGTAAAAATGTAATTATACTCATCCTTTAAAATCCGTTTGTCACTAACACCACTCCCTTAGCCCCTGCTCAAACTATTTTAGTAGTTTTTCATTGCTCTTCGTAGAGGTCAAAACCCTTCGTGCTCACCCTGTGGGAAGTACAGAGACCCGTATACAGTAGGTACTCAACAAAGACACACCGTCTGAGCACAGGCGTGGGGCCTTTCACCCTCCTTCACCCTCCTCAAGCACCTGGGGGCAGTGGGCACAGTTGACTCCTTCTCTGGTTCCCTGATGCAATATCCCTATATTCCTCTTTCTCTCTCTTGTCTTTTTTCTTTTCCTCCTTTAATGGGGGGGGGGGCGCAGCATACAGCAGGTGGCATGGTGGTTAAAGCACTGGACTCCTACATGTCTGACCGCGACTCGAGTCCTGGACCTGGTGGCTTGCTTTCTCTCTTTCTCTCTTTCTGTCTCTCTGGTGAGCACATATGCCCTATAGCAAATTTAAATAAAATAAATAACTATTTTTTAAAAAAGAGAAAGGAATGGGAGATGAACACAAAAAGATATTTTTGACAGGGTTTCTCTTTGTCACAGTCCTGCTGCTCCTGCCTCCCAATTAGCTCGGATTTCAGGTGCTCCCAACCTCAGCCAGCATGTTTAGGTCGGACTGGAGCCAAACCCGCGCGTCCCATGCAGAGCGGCCTCCCGACCAGTGGGGCTGCCTGTGCACCGCCGAGGCTGGGCCTCCCTGTGTCTTCTGACACATCCTTTACTTCTGCGCTGCCTCCTCTGCCTGCGGTCCTATCTCGAGACTTAGTCCCTGCCTGCCAACTTCTCTCACTCTACATTTCCTCCTTCCACAAGCCTATGGAGAAATTGACCCTTTCATGATTTTTAACTCCAACTCCCATCTCTGGCTCCAGCACCAAGCTCAGTTCCAGGTCCGAGTTGCCGTCTAATCACGAAGCATTTCTTCTTGGCACACCAACCTGCCACACCCTTAAGGCAGGCGGGCAACTCTTCCACCAAGGATTATTTCATCCCGTTTTTGTTAATGAAACGACTATTTTAAAAGATGTTTAAATATTTCTTTCTTTTTTCCTTTTTGAGTTTTTGCTATAAGACACGTGCACTTGCCAGAGAGAGAGAGGAAGTAAGAAAGCCCTCCGGGAGGATGGCCACACGGTGATCGTTTCTCCTCCATTCTCTCGGGATCTTGGGCAGGCGTGCACATGCACCTGGTGTGATTCTCCAACTGCGGAGTCCCGGACTCGAGCTGCAGTCATCCATGTGGGAGCAGCGCCGTAGTCTCCATGTCACATCTAGCCATTAAAGTAAATCTTTCTTTCATGAATGAGAGAGACGAGACAGACAGTGCCATCCACGCCCAGCCTCAGCCCTGGATCATGGGCACACGTGACCGGCATACTCAGGGAGGTCTCTGGACACGAACCCAGAACCCTCCCATATGGCTCAACCTTGCTGGCCGTGTTTTACTGCTGTGCTACTGACTGATCCCTAAAGTCAATTTTTATGTACCTTTATTTTTCTATCAACTATAGTATTCTAGGCTCCTTTTAAAAATGTCAAGGGCCAACACGTAGCGCGGTGGCTAAGGCACTGGACTCCCACACGGCCAACCACAGTTTGAATCCCAGACCTGGAAGCTTCAAAGTCAGGTCAGGTGCGTGCACGTGTGTGCCCAAGTCCTCAAAGGAGAATGGAGGAGAAGAGATTATAGTGTGGCCATCCCCTCCAGGGGATGATTTCTCACTTTCCCACTCATAGTCTCTCTCCAAAGAGTGCTCACACCCTATGGTAAAAACCTAAAAAGAGAAAAAGTCAAACGCTCCAGAAATCTGTCGCCACTGTAACCATTTTTTTTTAATTAAAAGAAAAAACCTGAGGAGACAGATGGAATAGAGGTTATATCGCTGGACTCCCACGTGGCTGACCACTGTTTGAGTCCCAGACCCAGTGGCTTGAAAATCACATTGGGTGCATGTGCATACGTGCCCAAGATCCTGGAAGGAGAATGGAGGAGAAGGGATTGCAGCGAGGTCATCCGCTGGGGGCGATTTCTCATTTTCCTTTGCCCTATGTCTATCACGCTCCAGTGAGCACATGTGCCCTAAGGCAAAAATCTCTCTCTCTCTCTCTCAAAAAAGCTGTAATCCCTTCTCTGTTCTTCTCTAGGACTTTGGGCATACACGTATACATACGCTGTGTGTTTTTTCTTTTCTGAGATTTTTTTTTTTTTTTTTTTTGCCATTGTAATTTACTGGAAGATACGGGTGCTTGCCAGAGAGAAATGAAGAGCAAGAGGAGGAGAGGAAACGTGAGAAAGCACCCCCTTGTGTCATGGGCATGTTGCAGTCCTTGTGGGCCCAGTGTGGTTTTCAAACCACAGTCAGCCACTGTCAGCACCGTAACCACTATGCCACCTGCTTCCCCTCTCCTCCACTGTGTTTTTCAAGTCACTGGGTCCGGGACTTGAACCGTACAGTTGGTCATGGTGAATCCAGCTGCCCCAACCTCCATGCCATCTGTTGGTGGTGCTTTTTTTTTTTTTTTTTTTTGGAGAGGTTTTTGCTATCGGGCGCGTGTGCGCGCCAGAAAGACAAAGAGACAGAGAGACAGAAAACGAGAAATCACCCCCCAGGGGGGATGGCCATGCCGCAATCCCTTCTCCTCCATTCTCTTCTTGGGATCTTGGGCATGCACGCACACGTGCCCAGCGTGAGTTTAAGCCACCGGGTCCGGGACTTGAACCGCGGTCAGCTACATGGGAGTTCAGCGACATAGCCATTACACTAACTGCTGGTCCCATGTTGGTCATGCATTTTTTAAGTAACTATTTAATGTATGTTTTTTGCCTTCTGAGAGGGGTGTGCCTTGGGGTGGGCCCCGTGTCGTCTGGCCATTCTGATGGGAGATGTGCTGGAGGTGGGTGCTCCTTAGCTCTGCACCATAAAAGTGGAAGGAGCAGCGATGAGTCTGAGGGGAAACCAAGAAGGGAGCCAGGAATTGGAGAGGCCGGCTCTGCAGGGGGGAGAGGGGGGGCATGGGCAGGGCTGAGGGCCCTCTGCCGGCCCAGGAGAGCTTTCTGCGAATCGAGGCGCTGAGACGCGGGTTCTCCCTGTACTCTGCCAGGCCTTCGGTGAATGCAGAATGCTCAGTGCATACTTGGTATAATCGGATTTCTCTCAGAAACTGACGGAGAGGCCAATTTTTTTTTTAAACATTTTATTCAGAAATAATTTTAAACTTACAGAAAAGCGGTAAGAACAAGAATAGTACAAAAACCACCCACAGACAGAGTCATCCAGTGTTAACGCCTCGCCCCGTTCGCCGTGCCATTGACTGTTCTCTCGCTCGCTTTTTCTCTCCACACGCACGCTTTCCAAACCTCTCGAGACCACGCTGCATATATCATGTCCCTGTACACGGAATGCTTCACTGGAAAGGGTTTGAAACTAAAAACGAGGTGTTCTACTCTCGTACCTAACTGCAGTGCGTAACCACTGGACTGCGGGGTTGGCCCCTCTTCTTTATTTCAACAACACTTGTATAATTCTCTCTATTATGCACATTTAAATTAAATCCTAGATACTTCACACATATATTTTTTTTAGAGGATTTTGCCTTAGGGTGTGTGCACTCTCCAGAGAGAGAGAGACAGAGACAGAGACAGTGAGAGGGAAAGTGAGAAATCACCCCCCAGGGGAATGGCCTCGCTGCAATCCCTTCTCCTCTAATTCTCCTCCTGATATCTTGGGCACGCACACACCACTGGGTCCAGGCCTCGAACTTAGGCCAGCCGTGTGGGAGTCCAGCAACACAGCCGCTAGCTCTCTGCTGGTCCTGATACTTTACATATATTGATAATATTATAACTGGCATTTAAAAATTCATCTTTTATTTTTATTACTGCTATCCAATATTCTTCCTTGCAAGTTTTTCTCCACTCCATCCTGTTGATCCTAGGAAGTCGTCCATTTTTTTTTTTTTTCTTTAGATTTTTGCCATAGGACACATGTGCTGGCCAGAGAGAGACAGAAAGGAAAGATAGACAGTGAGAAATCACCCCGGGGGGGGGGGTTGGCCATGCTACAATCTCTTCTCTTGCATTCTCCTACTGGGTTCCTGGGCATGCACACACATGCGCCTGGCATGTTTACAAGCCACCAGGTTTGGGGCTCAAACCACAGAGCTGGCCATGTGGGATCCAGCGCTTTAACCTGCTGGCCCAGATAAGTCTTAAAACGCTGCTTGAGTGTATCCCTGGCCTTCCCGAGGGGGAGTGGCTTTATGATGCCTGGAGAACGCAGTGTAGCCATTCTTCCTGCGTCTCCATCCTTACAGGGCCCTGTCCCACCTGAGCATCTGCACTCTCTGACCAGGCGCACCCCTCCACTTCCTCTCTGCTCTGTGACTTTATTCCTTCAATTATTCCATCTCCAGGAATCCAAGGTCCTCCCCTTGAGCCTCGTCCTATCCTAACTTGTCTTAGTCCAAATCCCAACGTTTTCATGAAGCCTGACAAAGCCAGTTGCATAGGATGTCCTTTTTTTTTTTTTCGGTTGAGACACCACACCCTCTTCATCTACACTGAGCCTTTGCGCATACCTTGTACAATTTTATTAATTTTTATTAATTAACAGTTGCATGCAGGGGCCAGCCAAGTGGCGTGGCGGTTAAGACGGCTGAGTCCCTCCCACGTGGCCGAGTGCAAGGTTTGAGTACCGTACCTGGCAGCTTGGAAAACACCAGACGCAGGGGTAGATTTCAGCCCCAGTCACCGCTCAGCCACCCCTCGTGCAGTGAGCGACCCCCACAACCGTAGATCGAACTGTGTACCGCGGTTAGTGACAGGACAGAGCATAATGCGCACCATCCCACCTCTGTATTCCTTGTGCCCAGGGCCTGAAGGCCAACATGACACGTCTTTACCAACTAATGTCAGAGTCCCAGTTCTCCCGCTGCTCCAAGCCTGCCAAGTACAAGAAACTGCTGTTTGCACTCTGCTTCTTCCACTCGGTGTTACTTGAACGCAAAAAGTTCCTGCAGCTCGGCTGGAACATCATCTACGGCTTCAACGACTCGGACTTCGAGGTTCGTGCTAACCAGGGGTCCCTTGCCCCGACCCTCTCTCTCTCCCTGCACTTCCTGCCCCGTGGCTCCCTGAGAGCAGCCTGTGTTAGAGCCCCGCTGGGAGAGTTCCTGCTTCACCTGTGTGTGTGTGGGGCTCGGGCTGGGGCCGTGCACAGGTGTCGGAGAACTTGCTGAGCCTTTATCTGGAGGAGTATGAGGAGACGCCCTGGGATGCGCTCAAGTACCTCATCGCGGGCGTCAACTACGGTGGGCACGTCACTGATGACTGGGACCGGCGCCTCCTTACCACCTACATCAACGACTACTTCTGCGACCAGTCTCTATCAACGCCCTTCTACCGGTGAGGGGGAGGTGGCACTGGGCAGAGGGTCCGGGGACACAAGCGGGTCAGGTGGCAGGACTGGGGTCGGGGAAGCGTTGAAGGAGAGAATTTGACTGGGTGAGAGTTGGTGGGATCAGGAGAGGGAGCAAGCCCAGGGAGTTGGACAGACTGGACATGCCGGGGTCTCGGGCTGGCATCAAAGCCCGAGCCCTCACAGCACGGAGGTGATTATGCTGCGGCTCCTCAGGTTGTCTGTTCTGGAGACCTACTACATCCCCAAGGACGGGGGCCTGGCCTCCTACAAGGAATACATCAGCATGCTGCCTGGCATGGACCCCCCCGAGGCCTTTGGCCAACACCCCAATGCTGACGTGGCCTCCCAGATCACTGAGGCGCGAACTCTCTTTGAGACCCTGCTATCCTTACAACCCCAGATTACCCCGACCAGGGCGGGAGGCCAGAGCCGGGAAGAGAAGGTAAGGACAGACACGTGGGCAGGGGAAGTGCCCAGGAAGGGAGGGCGGCGCTCAGCAGTGCGGCCTCCTCAGGTGCTGGAGTTGGCCACCGACGTGAAGCAGAAGATCCCTGAAATGATCGACTATGAGGGGACCCGAAAACTGCTGGCTCTCGATCCCTCCCCCCTCAACGTTGTCCTTCTGCAAGAGATTCAGAGATACAACAAGCTGATGGAGACCATCCTGTAAGACGGGGAGGGCCACACAGAATTAGGGGGGCGGGGGGAAAGGCCTTCACACACACACACTCATGCACACACACAACACACTCTTGCACACACACACCCTGGCTAGGCTGACCCTCCCAGCCGGCACCATCTCTACCATCCCACCTTGTCCTGTCAGGTCCTCCCTGACAGACCTGGAGAAAGGCATCCAGGGCCTCATCGTCATGTCCACAAGCTTGGAGGAGATCTTCAATTGCATCTTTGACGCCCACGTCCCTCCACTCTGGGGCAAGGCAAGATTATATCACTGTTTTTTGTGTGTTTGTATTTTAAGTTCATTTATTTTGTTCACTAGCCAGAAATAGGGACAGAAAGACAGCACCACCAACGGGATGTTGACACTGTGACCAGCCTCCAGGTCATGGGCAGCCATGTGCCTAATGTGATCAGAGAGGTGTGAAACCTTCCCCCGTGGGTCAGCCTCGCAGTGTCAGCGTCCACTGCTGCTGCCCATCGCCTGCCCCCCAGGACTACCCCACTGTTGATCCTACTCCAGCAATGACCTGTTCTCTCACCCCTGCACCCTGCCCCATTCTCCTGGGTCTAGGGAGGCAGACAGCCAACTGCAAGAGTCCGGGCTTCAAAGTCTGACAGGGTCGGGAACCAGCAGTTAGCGTAATGGCTATGTCGCTGGACTCCCACGTAGTTGACCACAGTTCCCATCCTGGACCCGGTGGCTTAAAACTCACGCTGGGCGCGTGTGCACGCGTGCCCAAGATCCCGAGAGGAGAATGGAGGAGAAGGGATTGCGGTGTGGCCATCCCCCCTGGGGGTTGATTTCTTGCTTTCTGTCTCTATGTCTCTCTCTGTCGGGCGAGTGCACATGCCCTATAGTGAAAAACCTCTCTAAAAAACAAAAACAACAAAAAAAAAAAAACGAAGTCTGACAGGGTCAACGTTGGAGTCTGGCTCTGCCATTCACCGACACACTCTGCACAGCCTGTGAACTGGCAGGCTGACCCAGGGCACATGGCTCTCCGCCCAGGGACGTCTCATAGGTCCCCAGTACTGTGTCTAACACACAGTAGGGGCTTCATAAATGGCACATGGTTCCTATTACTGTTGTCACTGCCAGCTGTCATTTGATATTTCTTTCTTAAGATTTGGCTAGTGGAGGGCTTTGCCCAACAGTAGTTGGGGAGCAGAGGCTGACCCATGTAGTCAGCTCATACCTGCTCTAGGTGCTTAAAAAAAAAAAAAGATTTACGTGCATGACTACATGAATGAGTAAACATACTCCACCTCCTCGCCAGGCATATCCCTCACAGAAGCCACTGGCTGATTGGACCCGGGACTTGGCCATGCGCGTGGAACAGTTTGAGCTGTGGGCCAGCCGCGCCCGGCCTCCGGTGATCTTCTGGCTGTCTGGCTTCACCTTTCCCACCGGCTTCCTCACGGCCGTGCTGCAGGCTTCAGCTCGCCAGAACAACGTGAGTGACAGGCCAGGTGTGGAGGCGGATGCACGTCAGGGACGTATATTTGCTCTCCTCTCTGGGGTCCTTCCTTATTCCCACCTTCAACCCCCAGATTTCAGTGGACAGCCTCTCCTGGGAATTTATCGTCTCCACAGTGGATGACAGCAACCTAGTATATCCACCCAAGGTGGGAGCCAGGTGCACTCGGGGACTAAGCGGAGGAGGGGCTGGTGGAGGGGGTGCCGGTAGTAAGTGGAAAATGACTGGGTAAGATGGGGGAAAGGGACACAGGTCCAGATGCCACGACTGGGAGTCTTGGCTTCCCCTAGGCCTTCCCCCTTCTCTCCCCAGGATGGTGTCTGGGTTCGAGGTCTGTACCTGGAGGGTGCTGGCTGGGACCGGAAGAACTCCTGCTTGGTGGAGGCAGAGCCCATGCAGCTTGTCTGCCTGATGCCCACCATCCACTTCCGGCCCACAGAGAGCCGCAAGAAGAGCGCCAAGGGTGGGAAGTTTCCCCAACCTGCCTGGCCTATCCCTAGTCTGGATCCCAACCCACCCTCTCCTCCAAACTTCCCCACTCCTGTCCCTGCCCTGCCGGCTCCCAGGGCTCCAGGGGTCTGACTCCGCTTCCTCTCCTTTTCCCCAGGCATGTACTCCTGCCCCTGCTACTACTATCCCAACCGGGCAGGCAGCGCGGACCGAGCCTCCTTCGTCATCGGCATCGACCTCCGGTCTGGGGCTATGACATCTGACCACTGGATCAAGAGGGGCACCGCTCTACTCATGAGCCTGGACAACTGAGAGGCCCCCCTCTTCTTCCCTGCTTCAGAGAGTTGGGGACTGTCGGGCTCTGGCTGATAATTCACTTCGGACTAGAGGCCCGACCTTACCCAGGGTTTGACCTTGACCCAATACTTGGGAGAACCTAGTTCTGCCGGCCATAAAGGTGGAGGAGGCTTACTGGATCTCAGTGCAGTAAACACCCGAGACACACGCCTGGTCTCTCAGTGGAATGGGGGCGTTGGGGAGAGAAGAAAGCCGCGGCTACACCGGGAAAGGAACCAAGGAAGTGGGGAGGACTTGAGAGAAGAGGGGGCGAGCCTTTCAGCGAAGGGGCCGGGCCGTGGGACCTAAAGAAGGTGTGGCTAAGTCTCGGGGCCGGACTTGAGTGAGTGGGGCGGGGCTTACTACAGAAGGGCGCGTGATCCAAATGGAATAGGGGTTCGTCAGGCAGGGATCCGGGCTGGCCCCCATACGCTGCCCCCTGAACCCTGCACCCCACACCCGGCGTCCCACCTGGCACCTGCGCCGGGGCTGGCGGGGCCGGCACAGGGCGGGGCGGGGCCGCGGAGCGGCCCCCCCAGCCCCGGCCTGGGAGAGGGGGGGCCGCTCGACCCCCTGGGAGACCTTGGGGAGCCTGAACACCTGGGACCCCCCCAGAACCAGGTAACGGGGGCCCGTGAGAGCGTCTGTAAAGAGGGAAAGCCATCTCCGCGCAGGGGGCGGGACGCCTGAGTCAGAGGTGGGTAGAGCTGGGGATGGACGTTCGGTTCTCGGGAAAGGCACTGGGAAGAAGACTAGGGAGCAGGAGGACAGCGAGGCCCCTGGAGAGCAGGGCGGGAGTTGGGGGGAACTGGGAGGTAGATGTCTTGGTTCGGTTCCGATGTCAGGAGAGGCTTGAAGGACTCTAGGGCCTCCTTGGGCCGGGATTCCCCTTCCCGACATGAGGGCGGGGGCGCCGCGGTCCTAACTGAAAGGCAGGGTTACAGGGCAGCGTCTGCGGGTGGGTCAATGCCATGGCCCATTGAGGTCAGCTGTGGTCAGACAGGGGCGTGTCTGCCGTCCCCGGGCCACTTCTCCCTCCAGTGCTTCCTTCGGATGAGGCGTATAGCCTGACGTTCCCACCGGGAGCCCCGCCAG